ACCACGAATTCTAAGTCGTAACAAGTAAATTACTCAGAAGACAGAAAAAAAAAATCAGACATGATAAAAAGAAAAACCTCAGAGTTTTACTTTGCCACTTATATAAAATTGTGCAAACTCATTAGTCTTTCTTCACTCAGCATCTGTGATAGATTCTGCCTTTCAGAATTGTCACTTGGAAACTCTGTTAGCACTCTGAAATTGTTTTCAATTAAAAATGAAATGCATAGGCTGAATAATAACAAGTAGTTTAGTATGCCATTTGGTTTAGGCAATTTCATATTTTATAAACCTGAGCAAGGCTTTGGTGAGGGATTTTTAAAAAGGCTTTCAGACTTGGGAAACCAATAAATCATAAGTACTCCAGACAATGGCTGTTACTTGGGCAAAAGCTCATGTAACTTGCATGATACATTTAATCTTTTTATCAGAGATAAGTGTATGTAAAAAAAAAAAAAAGGATTGTAGATGGATTTTGTGGTGGTTAAGGTTGTGTGTCAATTTGGCTAGGCCTGGTTGAGTGGCTGGGCAGCTGGATGTAGTATTCCCCATGATGAGACTGGTAATCAACTCCCTGGTGGAATCTATTGTAAGCAGCTGAGTGGCTGCCTTTGGGTATGTGTTCTGCTTCCCATATAAAAGAAACAGCTTTGAAAATGGTCTCTACTTATGGCACACTTGGACCCTGCATGTAGCTGTGTCGTTCAGCAGCCTGCCATGCTCTGCTGACCTTGGGATTTACAATGGACTTGAACTAATGGCCTGCTGTGTGGTTTGGTAACATTGGGACTGTGCCATTTTATTTGTCAACCTTGGGCTTGTTAGCCTCAGCACAGAGTAGCTGCCTGAGTAAAGAGATGCCTCTAGCTTCAGTGGGCCGGGAGCAAGAGGCAGAGCTGGACCCCAAGGTCCAGCCCCTAGAGCCTGGCACTTTGAACTTGGACTTAAAGCATCCAAACTGTAAGAAAATAAACTCTTGTTTGTTCAAGCCATTCCATTTGTGGTATGTTCTTGTCAGAGCGGCACTAGGTAACTAGAACAG